AATCTGAAGAAACCCACTTTTTCCTAGAACAGCCCCCATATAGTTATGTTACTTTTTATATCACATTTTAATTCGTGGGTTGAGCCTTATGATAATTCAAAATTTATTCTTTACGGGTTGAACACAAAAATAACGAAAATTTCCAAGACTGCTGATCAATCCAGTTCAGGTGTGATGGTTCTAAAGTGACCTTAGACTGAGAAAATTAACTCTGTGTATTTTTATATTCTATCCTATAATATGCTTTTATTTTTTTCAGTATCAATAAAGCTGACTCTAGTGGCTCAATTTCGCATATATAATTGCGTTTACTTTTGCATATATATTTCTGGAATTTATTCCAATGTTCACAGTTTTTGTATCATGTGACTTATTATATGTAATGTTATTAAGTGGAAATAAATATAGATGTCTATGATTCTGATGATATAAGAACGACGGTGTCTACCCCATAGGTTTGGTTTTATATTTATTTCTCTTATATTTCTTCGATTTTTAGTTAATAAAGCTATACATATAAATATCTGAAAAAAATAAGCTAATTAATTGCTGTACGTAGTGGCCTTGCCAGCTCCGTTGAGAATAGTTGCATCGGAATTATTCGCCTCTAGATATTTACACACCTCTTCATAGTCAAATATCGCTTTCACATCTTGCGTATTCTTATTTATGATAGTTATCCCGGTTTAAAAATTGCATATACTGTTTAGGATTATTGCTGAATCTACCTTGAGTTTTTCAACTGTTATTTTTTAGATTTGCGAGACATACCTTATGTGACGTATTATATCAAAGTATTGAGGCAACATTCAAAATTTTTTTCTTGGCATTTTTCTGAGACATTATGTCCCGCAAAATTTAATCACGTGAATTTAACTTTGTACCTTGCACAATTTGAATGAATGCGCTTTTTATATAAAGTAATGTCGAACACTCAATCCAAAAACGATTCATTGAAGGAGTTAAATTCCAAACTTGTAGCCGAGATTGCCAAGCTTAGAAAGGAGAATGCAAAGTTGAAGCAGATTATTGAGGAGAATACAAAGCGCGATGTTAGAGTTGAGGAACTAGAGCAAAAGAATACAGAGCTTGAGGCCAGACTCGCGATATTGGAACAGGGTGTTACTGGGGTAACTGGACAGTCACAGAATAATGATATTCCAGAAATAACGGTATCAGTTGTTGATGTATCCGATTCCGTAGTAGAGAATCTCAATAATAAAGTTGGACGAGCAGTTACCTGTGATAATGTACCTAATGATAATACCAACAACAAGTCATCAGAAAATAAGGAAAAGAAACTTCAAGCTCAAGATCTCAACTTGGTTACTCAACCATGCAATAGTGCAACATCCGAAGCATCAGCTACAAATATTCCGGAATCCTCTCATTCAGATAGTAATGAAATTATTTCCCAAGACGAAACTGGTAAGATACATAAGAAAACGGGAGTAGAACATAAAAAAGGTGAGGGATTAGACAAGCTTAAAAATGAATTGTTCGTCTCGGAAACATCACAGGAACCATCAATAGAACAAAATCTTGTGAACGAAATTTCTGAGACATTATGTCCTGGAAAAATTACCTTTGATAACATATCTAGCATTGATGAGGCCTCTCAACATTTAGCCCAGTTATGTAATAAAGCTTTTGATGCTGAAGATAAAGCAAATAGAGCTAATCAGGAAGAAATTTTATGTTGGTATCTCTATGCGAAGGATTTCAGAATTCAGCTCAATGGAATTATAGAAAATAGTGAAGGTAAATTCGGTGAAAAGAAGGCAAGAAGTTTGCTGTATGATTCAATTACAAAACAGCTTAATTTAATTCGCAAACAAAGATCTCAAGAATTAGGGTTACAACTTCGAGATATATCACGAGATAGTTTACGCAAGAAAACTCAGAGAGCTGAGAAAGTATATAAATTTTTCGAACAAGTGGACATAGATAAAATCAGATATATTAAATCCTACAGTGCAACTTCTATTTCAGAGCTTACTAATGAGCAAATTCAAGAGATTATAGATTATGGAATATCTTTGGAAAAAATACCTCCCGAAACGGATTATGTGACAGAAATTTCCGAGACATTATGTCCCGGAAAAAATTTACCTAATAATACACCGATTCCTAGGACTAATCCAAATAAGATGGAATGTCTTTATCAATATGCTGTTGATAATGACCTCGATCCCGAAAAATTTTCGGTTATTACTAAGGCTGAGAAAGATAGGTGGATCAGTAGAGAATCTCAATAATAAAGTTGGACGAGCAGTTACCTGTGATAATGTACCTAATGATAATACCAACAACAAGTCATCAGAAAATAAGGAAAAGAAACTTCAAGCTCAAGATCTCAACTTGGTTACTCAACCATGCAATAGTGCAACATCCGAAGCATCAGCTACAAATATTCCGGAATCCTCTCATTCAGATAGTAATGAAATTATTTCCCAAGACGAAACTGGTAAGATACATAAGAAAACGGGAGTAGAACATAAAAAAGGTGAGGGATTAGACAAGCTTAAAAATGAATTGTTCGTCTCGGAAACATCACAGGAACCATCAATAGAACAAAATCTTGTGAACGAAATTTCTGAGACATTATGTCCTGGAAAAATTACCTTTGATAACATATCTAGCATTGATGAGGCCTCTCAACATTTAGCCCAGTTATGTAATAAAGCTTTTGATGCTGAAGATAAAGCAAATAGAGCTAATCAGGAAGAAATTTTATGTTGGTATCTCTATGCGAAGGATTTCAGAATTCAGCTCAATGGAATTATAGAAAATAGTGAAGGTAAATTCGGTGAAAAGAAGGCAAGAAGTTTGCTGTATGATTCAATTACAAAACAGCTTAATTTAATTCGCAAACAAAGATCTCAAGAATTAGGGTTACAACTTCGAGATATATCACGAGATAGTTTACGCAAGAAAACTCAGAGAGCTGAGAAAGTATATAAATTTTTCGAACAAGTGGACATAGATAAAATCAGATATATTAAATCCTACAGTGCAACTTCTATTTCAGAGCTTACTAATGAGCAAATTCAAGAGATTATAGATTATGGAATATCTTTGGAAAAAATACCTCCCGAAACGGATTATGTGACAGAAATTTCCGAGACATTATGTCCCGGAAAAAATTTACCTAATAATACACCGATTCCTAGGACTAATCCAAATAAGATGGAATGTCTTTATCAATATGCTGTTGATAATGACCTCGATCCCGAAAAATTTTCGGTTATTACTAAGGCTGAGAAAGATAGGTGGATCATGGGATGTTTTCGCGATGACCTAGAAAGAGATGTACGCTTCTATCGTGGTGGAATAGAGAGTAAGGAAGATCCTAGAAAATATCGAAAATTTTTAACAGATCGGGATAGGCTAATCGGAGAAGAGTTATTACGTCGCAGTATTCTAAAGAGTGGTTTAAGTACTGCATGGCTAGACGATCTGATGAAAGAATGGGAAGAAATCCATAGCCAATTCGTACAAATTTTTAGCCAGACATAACATAGCGAGTTCCATCAAAGAATACATAAAAATGATTAGGTTTTCGTCTGCTATTTTTAGATTTACGAGACATATCTTATGTATATATTAATATGGACAAACGACTTTAATTTTTTGCAAAAGTGATTGTAACTCGCATTAACGACATCAAAAATTATGATCTCATAGGATCTTATTTTATTGATATAAAAACGTTGCTAAAACAACGATATATAAATAAATAAATATATATATATATATTGGTGGAGTTTCACATTTGATCTAACATGTCGTTCAGTTTACCAGGATTAATCATACCATTGTAGTCATTTTCTCTATCTTCTTCTAATTTTTCTCTCGAAAGATTTTCCCAGTGTCTACCATTATCAACGTTATAGTCATCGTCTTCTAAGGAGGGATTATAGGTCGTCAAATTATCTGATTTAATGCATAGAATACACAGGTAAAATGAGAGTTAGTCTTGCTAATTTCACTAATATATGAAGAGCATTTTTTAACGAAGACACTTACCAAAACTATCTTTCTTATTTTTGCGATTGGTTTTAGATGATTTTGGTCTAGAAGATTTTTGTTTGAACGATGTTGAGTTATTAGTATTGTTAGTATTAGAATCGCTAACACTGGGAGCATTAGAATCGCTAACATTGGGAGCATTAGAATTATTGGTATTACTCATTTTGCGCTTCTAAATATAAAATTCATAATTAGTAGAATATCACTTTCTTTTTTGTAACGTAAATGCCCAATCTACATTACCTTAGAAATAAGTTGCGAGTATTTTTTGAAAAATAAATAAATATATAATAGCGATGTTATTGCTAACCCACCTCACAAATCCGGTTTATTTATATGATTTCATTCGCTAAATCTGAGAACCTGTTAGAAGAAAAAAATACATGATTAGTAATTACGTTACCCCAACCATTTCTCGGATCTTTCTTCGTAAGGCAGGTCTATTAAGTCATGGGTGTCAAGAACTAAATATGTTTCGCCTTTTATGGGGAAATTAAACCTTCCAGTTTGGCGATCGCTTTTGTAGAATAAAAAATAAGACAGATTTTGGCGATCTCAGATCTCAAGTTCCGTAACATATGAATTTGATATTATTACTGATAAAGAACAATAAACTCTCCTCCTTCATAACCTTTTTGAGTCTCATTCATAGTTGTTCTTATCAGAAAGCCATATACAATAAGGAAAGCTTTATTGCTATATACTATAATAAATATAGTATATAACGACCTTTGTTCCACAAGATTAATTGTGATACAACTATATATAGTAATAGAATGTCTACATCTTGTGCGACTATATGCAGGGATCTCTAAACTTAAATGGGTTCAGATGATTGAGCTTCTCTAAATAGAAAGTTGTCATACAACATTATTCCAAAAAAAGAAAATTCTGCGGTGAATTTTGTATTATCTGTGAAATTATGTGAATCACAGAAAATCATTGTCCCTGAATCATGTATATATTTGCATTCTTTTTTCGATCTTTATTGGATCAACAACCAGATAAATACTCCTAATAACATTAGGCTAGATTAAGCTATTAGGCTTCAAGATTTGAGTATAAAAATCAAAATCCCCAATGTACAACAATTCTTCCGAATTAGATCACTGATTCACGTAGGGGTGTAAGTGAATACCAACTCGCTACTCAATTGTATTGAAAAATCATAAATTTATAACATCATGAGCTTTTAATTAGCAATAAAAGGCATTAATGACATTAAGTATACCTATATTTTTTTAAAAAATGTTAATGGCCTTATTTAAGGAATATATTAGCATTTTCTCGGATATAGTATTCTACTGACTGAGACTGAAATGTCACAGTGTTTTTTCATCAGATTCCTCTGTCTTATTGAAAAATTCCATAAACGTTGTAAAGCTAAGCTCCCTAGAATCCAATAAAGCACTTATTATGTGCTTCCCTACTTCATGATGTGGTTGTTTTCGGAGGAGTTGTGCAGTTTTAAATTTCTTTTCAACTTCTCTTAAGATTTGCTGTTTAATGACTACAGGAAAAGGGAAAAGCACTTAATCCAAAGCAGAATAATGCAAATTTGATTGACGTGAAATATAAATCATTATTACCTTCTAAGGACTGCCCAGCCAGAAATTTATCCACCACAGCCTTTAGATCCACCAACTAATTTATATAATTCATCTACTTCTTCTTTGATCTTACATTCATTTTTCTTATTCCCTTCTTTCATTTCGATTGTGCACCTTTTAATCAGATAATCTTTTGATTCCTTTTCACTAAGGTCACTGATTTCCATCACTGGTTTATTTGCTTGTGACCAGGCACTACATGCTAAAAATAAAAATCACAATCTGTAAGTAATACAATTTTTTTGAGAGCACCAAAAAACATTGTCAAATACTTACATTCCATTCTTCGGGGAACATTTCCTTCACTGCTGACAAACACGGCGATGTATTTTCTGTCATCAGCATTATCCTTGGCATCATTCTGAAGGATATCAAGGATTTCTGGATTCTTGTAAACTAGTTGGCTAACATTATCATAAATGATAACTGAAGGTTTATTGTGCTTTGCTTTGTATACTGCACCAGCACACTTAAAGGCTTTTAAAGCTCTCTCCCATTCAGAATTCTTAGGTTTATCTACAAAAGGAAAAGTAAGGATTAAAACACCTGTTATCAACAATAAACTTACCACTAGCTTTGCCTAATATTTTTCGCATCAGCTGTCCTGTAAAAGAAATCTGTTCCTCAAATGTAAAATTAATAGCTTTTCTGAAAGCTTCATCTAATTCATTAAAATTCGCAGGAACATCAACATATATAACACCCTGCCCAACTTCTTTTGCTGAAATTCTAGTCAATGTTGTCTTCCCAGTGCCATGTTCACCACAAACCATATGATAAAATGATTGATTTTTATACAGCTGAAAAATTCTCTTAAGGCGTTCTACAACTAGAGGTCGAGGAACAAATTCATCATCCAAAACATCAGTTTCAGGTTGAGTGCCTTTTTCTATTGTATTGGTAATTAGACATTCATTGTGCCAGTTCCAATACCAAGTGTGACAGAGGTCCAGAGATACAAAACCAAGAAAGCCAGTTACAAATATTTTCACTGGTATGGCAGTCTGCAAATAGTGAAAAGATGGTGAGAAACTCAACCAAGTAATGCAAAAAACAACAAATATGTTCATACTGGAAGCTGTTTTGCAGATATACTTGTAAGTTTCTTCCAATTGGAGGAGGAAGACTCATCAGGAGAGGTGGAGGAAGTGTGGAATTTGCATAAGATCTTGAGAGATATGATTGAAATAGGTCAAGTCTTAAGTTTCTCAACATAGGATTTTGTGGCTGAAGGAACAAGACTCAACAGGTAACAGAGCAACTCCACTGAAAGCACTGCAAGATACCAGAGGAAGACATTTCTGTTAGTTGGATCAAAGTAAAAGACTTCCAAAAATTTATTTAATTATTGACCATAATTACATCACCATGCATTTTGTTGTCAATCAATAGTGCAACAGAAAAATTTTGCTTGCATAACATAGATGTTCAATCTGTATGAAATTCTGCATGCATAATAATGCGACAAATCAGACAAAAAAATCAAATTCGATTAATTACTATTACTTCATACATTTTGAGAGGAATTCTTGGCATAAAATACACCTGCATTATTCATTCTTGAAGTTATATACATTAATGATAATTATATCTCCCTCTTCCATGTTATTATTATATACTTATTCCAGTTTGATATTGTAAACTGTTTTGGATTCATAGTAAATTTGCCTTGGTTTTACATCTATTATTCTTAGGATTGCGAGACATATTTATGTATAGTGACCAAGACATTCAAATTTTTTTCACACACTCATAATTTTTATCTTTCGTAGAAAGTACACTCCATGCATTAACTCAAACTTTTAAACATATCTGTATTTTACATAAAACAACGGTAAACACTCAATCCCAAATTGACTTGTTGAGAGAATTGAATTCTAAGCTCATAGCTGAGATTGCTAACCTTAGAAAGGAGAATGCTGAGGTCAAGTCTGAGAATATCAAAGTTAAAGTTGAGAATGCAAAGTTAAAGCAAGCTTTGGAAAAACATGAAGCCAGATTCATGAATCTAGAGCAGAGAGATAAAGAAAAGACCAACCTTATTGCCATATTAGATGATGATATCAAGGAAATCAAACAATCTTTGGCCAATACTAGTATTTCTCCCAAAATAAATTCTGACAATATTCCTGAACAGATGGAAAATACATCTGATAATGCACCAAATTCTGATGTATGTCAGGAGACAAAGACTCAATGTTCTGCATCATCAATTTGCATAGAAACTAAATCTTCAGAAAATAAAGAAATGAATGATTTCCTGGACTCATTACATAAAGAAAAGATTAGATCCCAAGACTTATCTTTGGATAATATTTCGCAATCTAATAAAAATAAAATACAGAAATTCATGTTAGAAATTTCTGAAAACTCTAATTTGCAGTTACAATATACTGGTTCTATTATCAATGGTAATGTAGATAGTGACGTGACTCCAACCTTGAATGAAACAGAATCTCAACCCAGCAATGATAACTTTACACTTTTATATGAAAAACTTTGTGATGTTATAATTCTTGCTGATCATAAAACTCAAGAAGCTATTTTGTGTTACTGCTTATTTGGAAAAGCTCTTATGCAAAGATGTAATGAAAGAGCATCATAAAAACAAGTTGATCCAGAATCTAATATAGTTAGTAGAATTTTAAATAAAGAAGTTTGTGCTCAGCTTCCTGCAAATACTTCTGATGCACTTTTATGGAAGAGAATCAAAAAAGTTAAGAAGCTCTACAAACTTTTTCAATGCAATAGGTATGGATAAAATTTATCAAATACATTCCTTTTCTGCTGATAGCATCTCAAAAATGACAAAGACATTCAATATATCATAAACAATGTGCCATTTGGCTATAGTATTAAGATAGAAGAATCAAAGATTTGATGTTTCACTCCACTCTAAAATTTAAAATCCTGAACTGAGTTCAGGAGGTGATCTGCAAAATCATGTGACTAAAATCGTTGGATCAAATCCAACAAGCAGTGTTGGCAATTTAACTGGTTCAAATCTTTTTTTGAACTATTTGAACTTTTGAATTGTTAATTAGTTAAATAACCAGTTAATTAATTAAATAACATGCTGATCATTGAACTTTGCTGAGCAGTTATTTAACCAATATGCAAGTTATTTAATAGAGTTCATTACAAATATGGAAAACAGTATCAAATATTATTATTATATGTAATAACTTTGATTTTAGGAAGAACAATGTTTATTTACACCTTGGTTTAAAATTTTGTCAATTCCATACACAGGAACAGCTTAGAGGAAATCATATTTTACAATAAAAAGATATAGGTGATAGAAACAAACTCGTGCATATTATCTAACCCAATTTGTTAATTATTTGCAGATAATTTCCAAAATTGGTTAGACAATGTGCTCTGTGCAC